GAACAGGCCAAGTAAAATCAGCCACGTGACTGCTGCAGTTTATCTAATTACCATGCAGTGCAATTATGCAGCCTGTTAAACATTTGGAGCTGTGCCGGAAGATGAATTCGATTATAACATCACAACCTGTTCTACTGTGCCCTGGGGATATCCTTATTCACTGGCTGTTTTGTTTTGTTTTTTCAATAAAAATATACTGTAAGCTCCCTGGCAGAGTATACATAAGACTAAAGAACACACACTTCTCTCTCTCTTTTCCTCTCTCACATCTGTCTCAAAGACACGCATACATGCTAAACTTGGAGTACACCTGTGAGTAAAGCAGACTCTGGGGAACATCCAGCTCAGTTATGGAGACCTATTAGGAGCCTACCTGACCCCCATTCTCCAACCTAAGGATATAAAAATAAACTTTTAATTTTAGGACAGTTTTAGGTTTCAGAAAAGGTGCAAAGATGGTACAGCTTCCCCTCATCCTGCACTGACGTTCCCTGTTGCTGACGCCTTCATTCCTGTGGTACGTTTGTCACTACTGATGAGTGAATGTTGACCCATTATTATTAACTCATTCAGAGTTCCTTAGTTTCTATCTAATGCCCTTTTTTGGGTCCTAGAACCCCACATTGCATCCAAAGATCCAATCTCCTTAGGCTCTTCCAGTCTTTGAGTATCTCAGACTTTCTTGTTTTTGGTGACCTTGACAGTTTGAGATTCAGATTTCAAAACATCCCTCAAATGAGGCTTGCCTGGTGTTTTTCTCATTGTTAGACTGGTTATGGGTTTTTGGAAGGAGGACCACAGAAGAGCGAAGTGTTGCTGCCATCACATCCAGCAAAGAGAACGTGCTGTCAACCAGATTTACCACCTGACTGCGGCTGTGTCTGTCAAGTGACTCCAGTGTAAGGCTGCACCCATATGCTAGTCCTGTCCCCTCGCTGTCCTCACTGGAGGGACAGAGCTATGAGCAGACCACATTTAAGGGGAGGGAGTTTCAGTCCATCTCTCCTTTGATATTTAAAAAGATTTATGGGCCCTCCCTGGTGGCGCAGCGGGTTAAAGCACAGCACTGAGAAGCTAAAGCCACTTCCGCATGAGTTCGATTCCCGCCTGCCCCGGAGGTGACCACATGGCGTAGCAGACCTCTCCTGACCCACCTGCTGCCCCCCTCAGCAGTGTACTTCATCGATCTGCCTGTTCTGCTCCCTACTCTGTGGTGAAGCCTCTCGCCACCCCTGAGCCTCTGGCCTGTACCCCAGTTCTGTATGTACAAATAAATCTTTAAAAAAAAAATATTTATTTTTATTTATGCATACAAGAGCTGTGGTACAGACCAGAGGTGTAGGGAGTGAGAGGATTCACCAGACAGAGTGAGGAGCAGCGCAGGCAGATCTACTGAAACACACTGCTGAGGGGAGCAGCGGGTGAGACAGGAGAGGTCTGCTACGCCTGTGGGCCAGCTCCCTGGCTGGGGATGGAACTCAGGCCCAGCTCAGGCTGCAGTGGCTGGTGATAGCTTGACAGCACTGAGACTTTAACCCCTGCACCACCAGGGAGGCCCCCTCCTTGCCTTTAGTTGTACAAATTTCACTCATTTTCAGACATGCCCTGGTCAGCATCTTCTCTCCCATAAAAACCATTTTGTGTCCCTCTCTGCTGCCAGTGCAGCCTGCCCCGGTGCACAGGCAGTGCTACTCTCTGTGAAGATGGATGCCTGGGCTCGTCGAGTCCCATCAGTACACAGGCAGTGCACCTGCTCTACCTTTGCCATCACTGGTCCCACTGAACCAAGGGACACCTCCCACTCCAAAACTCCCCAATTAAACCCTCTTGATCTACCTGCCAAGCTCTGTGGCCTCCTGTGGGCAGGGTTTGGGCCAAGACCCAGTCCTGGCCAGTCCCCTCTCTTGCCTGAGCACCCTGCTCGCCCCCCAGGACTCTGCAGTCGGGGCCAGCCACCCTGGGCCCTGGCCAATCTGTCCAGCCATCCCGCTGGTCTGCCTGGTAACGCGGGTGGGGGGGCTTCTCAGGTTACTCAGAGGATCATTTTGCCTTAGAAACTCCAGCTGTTACCTCAGACACATCAGTAACTGACGCAAAGACTGAGGAGCAGAGGGCCGGCAACAAGCAAGTGTCCCTCAGCGCTCTGGGAGCCCTCTTTTCTGTCCCTGCTGCCACTGCAGTCACCAGTGAGGAAGGTGAACCAGCCTGGGGGAAGGTGAGCTCCTGGTATTCTGGGATGGGATGCAGGGATGCCTCCTTCTCACACCTGAGATAGCCCAGTAAACCCTGCCAGGAGCTGGGATTCCTATATTCAGGTAAAGGTGAAGGAGGAGAGAGTGACCTAAACTGGGAGGTCTGGTGGGTGGGACAGGGCTGGGTGAGTCTTCAGGGCACATGCTGCACATGGTTCAGAAGCCCAGGGAGGGGCCTCTCTGGTGGCGCAAGGGGTAAAGCACAGCACTGTGAAGCTGTCCACAGCCACTGTAGCCGTTCGATCCCCAGCCAGGGAGCTGACCCACATGGCCCAGCAGACCTCTCCTGTCTCACCTGCTGCTCCCCTCAGCAGTGTATTTCAGTTGATCTGCCTGTTCTGTTCCCCACTCTGTCTCTGGTGAATCATCTTACCCCCAGTCCTCATCTCTGGCCTGTACCCCAGTTCTTGTATGCCTAAGTAAATACATTTTATAACACACACACAAAGCCCAGGTCAGTGGTAGCACTGGCAGCCTCTGTGGGCTCTCCAGGTTGGCGGTAGAGAATTTAGGAGTGGCCTGCTCTGGTCTCTGACAGGCAAGCCTGCACAGGAGTGCCACTCAGAATAGGGGTACACATGGAGGGGAGCACATGACCCAAATTCAGCTTCCAACCAGCCCTCTTTGATTGTGGAGAAGCTGCCCATTTCTCTCATGGTACAATGATTGACCTCTGGCCCCAAGACGGGGTGGTGCCCCCACCTGTTTGGGGTCTGATGGACTGAGGAGTCCAGTGCTGCCTCCAAGTACCAGAGAAAGTGTCCCTGAGACCCCACGCCAGTGGCCAGCACCAGGGATGGGCAGAGGACAAAGAGGGACCCTCGGGTGGACTCAGGAGTGGGCCTACAGCCCAACAACGTCCATCCCAACCAGCATGAGAAGTTCTCAAACTGCACTTGCTGGAGATCAGGTGACACAGGGTTATGACCAGCTGTCACTCAAGCATGTACCCTCCTGTCCATGACGCCGTTGTAACCCTCGGGTTCCTACTACTCCACTCTCCAGATCCCAAAAGTTGTTCCTGGGAGAAGCCCGTTCCTGGAAGAGGGCTCCAATAGAAGATGACGCCCATGGTGAGGGGGCCTCCAAGAAGTTGCAGAAGACTAAGGGGTACACAAGACCAGGGCCTTAATTCCAGCCTCAGAGGTTCTTCTAAGATGGGGTCAGGAAATGCTTGGAAGTAAGGCTTCCTCCCAAGAAAATTAAGCCTCACATCATGTATCACTTACAGTTTCAGAGCTTATCCAGGGATAAGCTCTGAAACTTTGGGACTATTCCATCAGGACAGCCACTTTGCCTCCCCAGGTTGGGTTTGGGTCTCCGTTCCTCTTCACCAGCCATACAACCAGCCTCTTTTGGAGAACAGAGACACCTGTTCCCCCGAGTGTGTCCAGAGTCAGGCTCCCAGAGACCCAGATCAAGTGGTCAAGACGAGTTTCACAACTTAAAGGAAAATCCTTCCCCACCCCAAAAGTCAGTAAGAATGTGTGAGTTAATGTCCCTGGGAAGTTGGGTGAATTTCAGATACAGTGGGATCCAGGAGCTCAGGTACTATGGTGAGATCTGATTCTCCCAAAGCCTGCCTTGTCCCTGTGGCTCAGCAGCCCAGAGAAAGCCCTTCAATCTCCCAAGGCCGACATGTCAACTCTGAAGGGCCTTCTCTGGGACACAGGCTGCCACACCAGGACTGGCCAGGTCTGCTCGCGCCCCACCCCGACCCTCCCTACTCCCATACACCAGGAAAGCACATGATATTTGTTCTTCCAGAATCCTGGGGAATGGAGGCTTGTGAGAGCTTCTTCCAGACAGGCAGGAACTTCCTGGATGAGGTCAGGGGGCTTGATCTAGGAAGCCTTGGGTGGGAAGGACAGGAGAACTGCTTCCGCCAGTCCCCAGCTGGCGAGGACACCCCGCACCTCCAATGCCCCCACCCTATCTCCAGGGGCAGACACTGCAGTTGCTGTCTGGGGAGGATTATCCCAGAGACCAGGGATATGAATCTGGAGCCTCTTCCTGCTCCAGTATTCTGGGCTTCCGGGAGTGTCTGACTCATACAGCTCCTGAAAAGGGATTTTTATGGATGAAGAAGAGTAAGGAGAGCAATTAGGTGGAGGGAACATTGAGGAAAGAGGGGGCTGTGGAAACCATAGTGCACCACAGGGATCATGACGACAGCAAAGCTCACCCACAGGGGAAAAAAAAAATGTAGTCTTGTTGATTTAAAAAAAAAATGAGTTCAAATTAAGAATGTAAACAAAGACTATTTGTCGTTTACCCAATTATCAATAAAAGAAATGACAATGTAGAGGAATGCGGGTCTATCTCCAGAGACCCCACCTTTACCGTGAGTGTCCCCTGGGGCACTGAGCCAGCAGTCAGCTCTCTCCTGATCCACTTCCTAAGCCCTAAGCACTGTCCCAACAACCCTCAAGTCTTCACACCACCTCCCTGTTGTCTGAGACCTTGTCTTTTCCCAGCAGACACCTCTCCCACCTTCATCTATATCTGTTCCTCTGGGGCTCCATCCTCTCAGCCTTATTCTCCTGTTGTCCTGAGACAGGTGGAACACTCCAGCCCAGACAGACAGCTAAGGGGGAAGGGGGAAAGGGCAGAAAGATGGAGGGGAACTGAGTCAGAGAGACGGTGAGGGGGAAGAGGCAGAGGTAGAAGCCCCGCCTGGCACGCGGGTGCCAGGCCTTCCCCGCGGACAGGGTCTCTCTCCCTCTCCAGCCACAAGGCCCTGCTGCCATGCCGGCCACCAACCAGGGCTGGCCAGAGGACTTCGGCTTTCGGCTGGGCGGTTCAGGCCCCTGCTTCGTCCTGGAGGTGGTCGAGGGAAGCAGCGCGCACGCCGGGGGGCTGCGGCCGGGGGACCAGATCCTGGAGGTGGAAGGGCTGGCTGTGGGCAGCCTTAGCCGCGAGCGGCTCGTGCGCCTGGCCCGGCGCTGCCCGCGCGTGCCGCCCAGCCTGGGCGTGCTCCCGGGCCCCGACGGCGGCGGGGGAGCTGGATCCGGCCGCCCACCGCGAGCCACACCTCCGCGGCCCCCGCTCTGCGGCCGCGGCCTATGGCTGGGCCGCGAGCTGCTGCGCTTGGCGGGCAGGAAGCGCCCGGACGCCGTGCACCGAGAGCGCAGGCGCAAGGCCCAGGAGTTCAGCCGCAAGGTAGGGCGGCAGGACCCGGCTCACGCGCCCGGTGGCTCCCCAGGCGGGATGGGGGCGGGATGAAGTCTGGGGGCCCGGAGGGGGCCTGGAGGGAGCCCGCAGGTGAGGATACTTGTAAGGGCAGATTTATCTGAGCTGTAAAGACGGTCAAACATCAAGGCCCGGTACCTAATTTTGTAGAGATTGCTTTGAAAACAGGTAAATTTTTACAACTGCATAGACCCTTGTAACCAGCACCCTGACCAAGCTGTACGCTAATAGAATAAAGATAATAATAGAATGTACAATACAGATTAATTTCTTCACCCCAGAAGATTTCTATGTTCCCCTTTCCCTGTCTATTTCTCCCTCCGAGAGGCAGCTTCTATTCTGATTTCCATTATTATAGATGACTATAATAATAGTGAACTAGACATAACAGAATTATACAACATGTGATCTGGATGCCCAGCTTCCTGTACGCAATATATGTGTCATTTTCATCCGTATCTATAGACTGTGTGGCTAACATAACATCTTAGTCCATTTGGGCAGTTAAAACAAAATCACCAGAGATGGGAACCTTATAAACAACAGAAATTCATTTCTCACAGTTCTGTGAGCTTGGAAGTTCAAGATCAAGCCACCAGCATGTTCAGTGTCTGGTGAGAATCTGTCTTCCGGTTCATATATGGTGCCTTCTCACTGTTCTCATGAGGTGGGAGGATTCAAAGAGCTCTTCCCTAACTGCACTAATCCCAGTCATGAGGACTCCATCCTCCTGGCCTAAGCACCTCCAGAGAAGACCCATCTGCTAATATCTTCATGGTGGTAGTGGTGGTGGGGGGGGAGTGGCTTAGGATTTCTAAAGATAAATAGTATACCTAGTATTCTTTTTCTAAGATTGTCCAACTCCTCTAAAGATGTGACTTTCTTCCTATCCCCAGAAGAAGCTATTATGACAGCCAAAATCAAGCATCTTGGTGCCTTTACATCCACCATATTTTAATTTTCACCCACAGAAAGTTTTCTGTAGGCCCATGAGACTCTCTGGGACAGCTGACCTCTCCATGAGGTATCAGCATCTCAGACTCCCCCATCTCAATTGCAAGCTTCAGAATTCCCTAAAGGAGAGGAAGAGTGCATAGAAAGGTGTGCACTTGCTCTTAGGTGCTTCAGGGATGAAGTGAACTACTACACCTTCAATCAGCACTCACTGGCCAGAATTAGTAATGCCATTTTCAAGGAACGCTGGGAAGTGTAGTCTTCTTGTGTATCCTCAAGGAATGCTGGGAGGTGTAGTCTTCTGTGTGTTCAGGCAAGCGAGGGAGCTGGTAAACAAGAATATCTTAATCTCATCTGACTACTGTAACAAAATCCCACAGACTGGGAGACTCATAAACATCAGGAATAGATTCCTTGCAGGTCTGGAGGCTGAGTGCCAAGATCAGGAGTGCCAACATGGTGAGGTGAGGGACCTCTTTGGGTAGCAACTTCCCTTGTCCTCCAGTGACAAAAGAGGGCAGGGGACTCTAAGGTTGCTCTTTGATAGACACTAATATCATTCAACAGGATACCACTTTCATGTTCCAGTTACCTCCCCCAAACTCCATTTACTATAGGCAACTTGGATTTTCAATATTTTAATTTTGAGTGGGCATAAAATATTCACACCATTACAACTATCCTCTGCTGTAATCCCACATGACCTGCCTTAGAACCAGGCTACATCCCCCTATTCCTGTCATCAGCCCCCAGAGAGGGAGTGGGTGTGGTCAGAGCCCCAGAAGAGAGGAGTGGCAATGCAGACCTGGCCAGGAAGCAGGGCCAGGGTGCCCAGCCAAGGCCAGCTGTGGTGCCTCTTCTGATAAAAGGGAGAGAAGTGTGGAGGATTCTGGTTAGAGCTCACCAACCATCCCCCAGAGCTAAAAGCAAATCCTCAAAAAAACCTGCTTCCAGAAGATGAAGGGCATCTGTGGGAGCCCCTGTTGATTTTCAACAATCAGCTCCCGGATCCTGCCAGCATTCTCCCTGCCCCAGTTTTTCTTTCTTGAAGAATATGATATTTAATAGAAAATCCATTAGTGTCCCCTGATGGTGCCTCACGCTTAGATGTAGGTTGAGCTCATCTGGGTAATAGCTGACACCAAAACCCGCACCACCGCGCGGCCCCAGGAGGGAGGAGTTATTTTTTCCTCTCTCTTATATAAAACATCTTCCCAGCTAGCCATGTTCTCCTTTGAATCAAGGCTGCCTCTGACTTTGATTTCCAAACCATTAACCTTCCTGGACCTGGTGGGTGGCACCAGGAGGGGAGTGTCTAACACAGCAGCCTGCCCTACTCAGCAAGAGAGAAACCCGGAACTGCAGCTCTGGAATGTTCCATAGACATTCCAGTGCCTACTATGTGTCATCAGACCCTGTGCTTGGGACCAAACAGAAGTAGGATCTTAGGTCTGGGTCTCAGTGGTCATCTCTAGGAGAGGACAGATACATACAAATCTGTGATGTGATGTGCTCAGACTCAGGCTGCACAGATGGTGGCCCCAGACCCAGTACCCCTAATCAAGCCCTGCTAATAATACCCACTCATCTTCCATGGCATCACCTCTTCCTGAAAATCTTCCTCAAGGAAGGAGCAACCCCTTTGTGGAATCTTCTAGAAAGCAGTTGCTTTCTAGTTGTTCTAAAGTGTAGGAGCATGTTCGGAGCTGAAGATCAGGAACTATCTGGTGTCCTTTTAGGGCTGGCAAATGAGGGGCAGACTGCTGTAGGAGGTGGGCTGTAGAGGGAGGGTAAGGGCAGTTGTACAGAGACAGCAAGTGGGGGCATCACTGGGCTAGAAAAAGGAAGAGGATGATAGGATGGTGGGGTCAAAGGAGGACTTTATTCCTTTGACTAACTGCTTATTTAATTTTAACTTATTTTATAAAGATTTTATTTTATTTAAAGATTTATTTATTTATGCGTACAGAACTGGGGTGCAGGCCAGAGGTACAGGAGCAGTGAGAGGATTCACCAGAGAAGAATGGGGAACAGAACAGGCAGATCAATGAAGTACACTGCTGAGGGGAGCAGCGGGCGGGTCAGGAGAGGTCTGCCGCGCCATGTGGGTCACCTCGGGAGCCAGGAATTGAACTCGCACTGAAACGGCTGCAGCCAGCTTGCAGGGGCTGCGCCCGAATCATTTGTGCCACCAAGGAGGGTCCTTAGTAGTTATTTATTTCTAGGCTGGACATTTATATACTTTGAAGGAAAGAAGCAGTTGAGATACTGACATCCTTGAGTTTAATGGTTGTTGAGATGGGCTGTGACGCGGGAACCTGGGGAACTGGCTGTGAACAGGACAGACAGGTTGCTGCTCTCATGAGCTGACATTCTCACAGGGAACGTGCAAGGGGACAAACCAATAAACAACGATTTCATATCATGATCAACAAAGGGCAGGAATAAACAGGGGAGATGAGTTATGGGGGTCACTTGAAAAGGGCGGCTGGCAAAGGCTCAGGCCTTTGAGCTGCGAGGTGAGTGACAAATAGGCCACAGGAGGAGAGGGTGTGGAGGGAAGCAGTGGAGATCTAGGCTGGTGGGTTGGCTCTGACCAGCAAGGGACTGTGAGAGTGAAGGATGGGCCGGGGAAGGAGTCGGTGTCTGTTGTGGAGTTTAGAAATGGACAGAAAGGGAAAGAAGTGGTATCTAAGACCTCTTAGAAGTCTTCGGGTTCTGGCTGAGGCTGCACCCACAAGCCCCTGACAGAGATGCATGCAAACTGCCATGCTCACTCAGCCAGCCACCCTCCCACCACTGCTTCAGGGCCAGCTCACAGTGTCTGTGACCAGAGAAACCTCCAGACCTTTGACTTGCAAGGGCAGGTTCTTGTGGATTCTGGACAGATAGTGGTTAATTGCTGCATTAAAAAATAAATAAAAACAATGCTAAACACAAAAGCCCACATACTGCTACGATTTCATTCATATGAAATAGCCAGTACAAGCAACTCCATAGAGTACAACTGTCCTAAAGAATCCTTCAGTAAGAACCTGCTCAGAATGAGTTTTTGGACTCTGTAACTGCCCCAGTAAGCTCTCCTGTCTGCACAGCATCTCTATACCATCTCCTTCAAGACTCAAAGCCCTGGGCAAGAATTTCCAATTGACTGAGTCTGCAACGTACCCACCAGGATACTGCCTCCCATCTCGTTTGGGGTTTCCTCTCTTGGCTGCAGAGCTAACAAGCCACAAATATCCCCCTAGTGGCTGTGCTGCAATCCTTTAGCCTACAACATGGACGCTGCCCTGGCCGCTGCAGCCTCAGCGCTAAGCCACACACAGGGGAGCCTCTTCACTCCGTCCTCACTATAACTTGGCTTCTCAGGATGTGTTTTGGATAAGTCCTTGCTGTGAGATCACTGGCTAGAAGATGACCATATTTTGACTTTGGACACACCAAGCTGTCCTCCAGAAATGGGTACAGCCCCATGGGTACAGCCATTTCCAGCAGCCACACAAAGTAGATATGCCTTGATTTGTAAACAAAGAAGATGAAGTCCAGAGGGAGCATTCAGGGAGTCAGAATTCAGCACTACGCATGCACTCCAGGGCTCTTTTGTGGAGCCAAAATGTTCTCTGTGGGATCTCTCAGCAAACAGAATAGTGGAAGGGAGTGCAGTATTATAATAACAGTAACTAGCAATTATTGACTGCCTGGCATGTGCCTGAGATCCTTACAGTGTTCGGTAGAAGGGCTATCCCTGGCTTTGAGTCCTGTCCCCTGATCCTGGGCAAGTCATTTTGCTTCTCCAGCCGCAATTTCCTTAAAGGTAAGGGGAAGATGCCAGCCATGCACATGTTGTAGGGCTGCTGGGAGTTTTGAAATGATGCGGTAAAGGGCCCAAGCAGTGCTCCCCACCGCAGTTATATCAAAGATGTAAACCAAGAGGCGGGAGTGATTCCCCTTTGTTCTGTCCTGCGTCGCTGTGTTCCCTATGGAACCCTTCCTCATAGGTGGATGAAATCTTGGGAGACCAGCCGGCCGCGAAGGAGCGGGTGTTCTCTGCACTGAAGCATTTTGCAATGGAGCAGCAGGTGGATGACCTGGTGTGGGAGCTCACCCAGGCGCTACCCCGCGATGCCCAAGGGCCACTCCTGGACAACCTCAGGTACCACACTGTGTATCTCCCTCAGGGGTGTCTCCTCTCCCACCGCCACCCCAGACACTGCTGCTGCTGAGTCACCTGTTTCTGAACTGGACTGTCACCCCCTTGGCCCCAGAACAAGGTGGGTCAGTAACCCCATTGGTTGGATGCTAGGCCATCACTTTGAGTGAGAAGGAACAGCTGCCTTAGCGAGGTGGGACGGGCTGCAAGAGGACCCACCTCCTGATCTGAAGCCTGCCCTGTCTGCAAACCCAGAGCTTGGAGATCCCCAAGAGGACACCAAGGTACATCTGGGGTCTTTATAGTGACGGAGCAATGGCACAATGGGAAGGGAAGAAAGTCTAGGTTGTCCTGTGTCCCCCAGCACCCAACCCTACAAATGGTCTGTGCTGTCCTTTGATGATGCCAGATGAGTGCCAAGGACCTCACAGGGACTTACAGGAGTCTTCTCTTGCTGAGTTCCCAAAGCTCTTATCCCCATTTCTCAGGGGCCTGCTGAGGCTCAGAGAGTTCAAGAGGCTGGTCCAAAGTCACATAGCAAATGAGTGGCAGTCACAATAACTATGAACTGGTCAGCTGTGCACGTTCCATATTCATCTGCTTCAGCTTTTGGAAACGTTCATTCTTGGGAGGGGGGTTTCCTTGGGGTCTTCACCTGGAGTGACCAGAGAATCTCTAGAATCACCCCTGTCCTGTTAGGGTGTCACTGCCCTGCACAGCTTCCATCTGGATGGCACTGAGCCTGAATGATTTGTTCCCCGCGGGGATACTGCGGGGCTTTCTCTCCCTACCCAGCCTCCTGGCCCGCGAC